ACTCATATCATATGGCGTTAACTCCATAATCTGCCCACTTTAACTATCACACTCCACACATGCAAATGTAACAATTAAAACAATCAAAAGGCATTGTTGCAATGATAAAGAAAATTGTAAAATACCCCCATAAGGATGTTATTATTGTTTATTAATAATAACAAAGGACTCAAGTGCGGATTGGCATTTAGGCAACCCGAAACCAGAGTCCACGTACATGTGAGTTGTACAAACATGGAGACAGGGGGGGAGCATAGCAACATGATTTCGTCCAACACATACAGGATTAGAATCTCTACTCAGTCAGTAATTACAAAGGAACTTCTCTGTAACTAGAACAAACAAAGATAAGGGAGGGAATCATACACACACACACCAGGAGAGAAATTGATCAAAAATCCGAGAATGCATCAGAGGAAAGTACTGAAAAGATCAGCAGAAGTGTCAGACTTGGGGGGATCAGACCCTGGTGTTTGCAGGCAGTGGCAAGACACCATCAAAGAAATCCCCGAAGTAGCCACGAGGTTCGTGTACCAACTTAGAGATGATGTCTCTGAGAGTGACGATCCCCTCTAGATTCCCTGCATTGTCCACGACATATATCCGATGGATCTTCAAAGAGTCGAGCTTCGTGATGACTTCCTTAAGGCTATCATCTCTTCGGCATGTTACCAACCCGGTTAGCATTGGTGACTCCTTACAATTCTCTGCAAGGTGTCGTCGGATTGCAGTCAGGAAGTTCTTTGCAGTGATGGATCTGCAAGGAAACATCAAACAAGTACCTGAGATTACTATGACAACAGTATTTTAGTGACGAGGGAAACCCGCAGTCATTACCCGAGAGTATGCTATGGGTTGCCTTGTGACCCCCTAGCCGGCAAAGGACTACAAAGAAGTAAACCCTGCTAGGTTGCTCATAGCTGGACCAGCTCAAACCAATAAAACGCCCATGCTAGGAGTCAAACTTGTAACCTCGTGGTTACCAAGTCAACAGCCCAACAACGTAAAAGCCATTGATACTGTTGGTCTCTTCTTAAAGATAGTGATATGAGGAGAAGGTTGTTTACTAATTTTAAGTCTCATTCAGTATGAAAATCTTTAATGTCTTCTAAATACATAGTGAAATCATTTTAATTGAAAATTGAAAACAAACCTGAAGTCGCTATATATTTCAGGTGCAATCAGAAGGAACTGAATATCTCTGATGCTTATATTGCCAATTGCTTTGCTTCCACCACTTTCAACCACAGGTAGTCCACCTATACCTTTTATTCTCATTAGTTTGAAGGCCTGCAGAACTGGTTCATCCTCGTTCACCTGAAATAGTAGAAGGAGAGCACAACAGACTTTTAAGTGTTTTGGCTGCATAACTGATGATATTTTTGACAGGAAAATTTATACTGATGGAGATATATAAGAGCTAGTAAGATCCAAAAAAAATATTTGGATGGGTAAAACGACTAAGAGGGTGTTTGGCAAATAGCTGTTAGTTTATAGTTGTTAGATGATTGGGTTAGTGGGTTTGACTAGTTGATAGCATTATCTTATTGTAAAAAGATGTTTGGTAAATTAGCTATTAGCTGATAGCTTATTACATTATTGTAAATTACATTATAATTTATTTGATCAAAAAGCTTATCGAAAAAGCTGCTTTGAGTAGTTTTTTGAATTTTAGTGTTTTGGAGCAATACGCTGTTACAAAAAGCTGATTAACCAAAACTCATATTGGCTGTTTAACCAAGTCAAACAAGCCAAAATTGGCTGATAAACTATGTTACCAAACAGGGCCTAAATCAAACTTTATACTACCTTTATCCAGTCTAGCACCATAATATCCAGCCTAAAGACCATAACTGCTCACGCCTTTAATCAAATTGCTATTTTGAGTTAAGCTTCATACCTTAACAATAGAATTACCCTTCATTAAAGGGAGACCAAGTTCAGATAGTTTCTTGGAACCCCAGCTCTCGAACCACTGAAGATCGGCACATTCTTCTAGCATGTGTAAGACAGAAGATTGAGTGATGATGTTATCAATCTTTCCTTCTCCTAAATCTACCACAGGAACACTCTTCATTCTATATTTAGATAGCAATAGAAGCATTGTCAGGAAAGAGTTTGATTTCTGCAATGCAAGGAATGGAGCCCAGCGAAATGACCCAGCAATATCTAGAACCTGCATAAAATTGGGAGAAATTATGCATAGAATATCATTGTAAAGAAAGCGTTTAAAACATCCTCAGACTGAGGAACTTCCTATGGTATAAATATTCAATGAAAACAGTAACCTTTGTGTTCTTATATAGGTCAGAAGAAGTTAGAGCCTCAAAATAGTTTCCAGAAGTTGCTGTTGGAGACTCAGGGTGTAAACTTCTGAATTTGGGAGAACAAATGCCATTAGCAGCTGCTGCAACAGCAGGAGGGAGATCCGATTCAGCCATTGCTTCATCCCATTTGGTAAATCCTTCAATCTTTTCTGACTGCAAAAGCATGAAAACCATCTTCATTCTTCTTGAAGGACAGAACAAGATAAAACTGGGAGATAATTATCTTTACATAAAAATGACAATAATGTGCTTGATTTTGAGGCTGTATCTTTTTTCCTTTCCTAGAGGCCTAAAGCAACTATCCATCCATCAATTTAACAAATTTTTATGATATTATTGATCTATTTCCTCCACGTGGTATTTTGTATCACTTTCACATTCCTTAGAAATGAAAATCATATAGAAAACTAAAACAAAAAAAGAAAAAGAAAAAAAAAAAAAAGCAGGGTTTGAACACAATTGTTAATTACTCATCCTCATTTAGGTTCATATTTATATATACTACCAAAAAAATGAACTTTCAGTACATTGAAAATGAACATTCAGTATACAAAAAATAAACATTTATCCTGACCTATAGAATAATTGACTTGGATTTACGGGGTCATTCTTAACAGAAAATCAATGTCGATCATGACCAAAAATTTGGAAGAAAAAACAAAAATCTATTCATCAGTGTTCAAAGACAAATATCCATTAATTAGAAGTTTGAATACAGGCATGCACACCTGATGCAGAATCCAGACCACAATTCCGGCGTACTCCACAATGCCGATGTATCTATCAATCCAGCTAGCATCTTCAGGGGCATCAACATCCACGACAGGCGCGCTTAACAGTTTATTCTGGGATAGTAATTTAACAGCTTCACCCAAACTGGCATCCGATTTTATCTCAACCACTGCGCGCCATAATTGCTAACGTATTAGAGTCAAAATCACATACAACGGCAGAACATATAAATCATTCACACGCACGGCATGCAAAAAACCAGCTCAATCAATCCAAACCTCCATCACAATCAGAGAATAAATTCACAGGAAAACGGTATACGAAACCTGATTATACGATCATAAAACATAGAATTACAGAGAGAGGGAGAAGAGTACCTTGATTGGAAGCGGCGGGAGGGAAGTCGGAGACAGGGATGCTTTCAAAACAAGCATTGAGCTTCTCAGTAGGACTGAGCTGCGGCTCCTGAACGTCCCATAGATCCTCCACCTGCAACCCCAATTTCGCCTCCGGGCTCCGGGGAGTCGACACCTGACTCCCCTCCTCACTCTCCATCTCTCTCATCATCTGCATCTTGCCTCTCTTTCTCTTCCTCTCTCTCTCTCTCTAGCTGGTAACGAGAGATCAATCAATCACTGGATATTTGTTGCTTTTTCAGAAGGCGACACACTATTATTATTGCATCCACAATGATTCATTCAAGCTTCCATTAACTCAATATTATATCCGTGTATATATATAAGCCAATTACAAAAAAAGGGAAATGGGAAATGAAAGTGACCATTATTTTCACTATTTTTAAGGCTAACTCTTATCCGTTCTTTTGTAGGGGCCACTTGCCCGAAACAGACAGCAGAAAGATAAAGGCAGAATGAAAGGAATAGGAACACTACGAAGGGGCAAGCAAAAACGTCGCCCCCATTCTCTTTGTCTACATGTAATAGTAAAAAAAATTTTAAATATTTTTGTGAGTTAATATTACCTGGAATCTTCCGAATACAGTGATTTTGTCACGTTTAGTTCTAAATTTTTAAATTAATCATTCGTGATCCTTCGACTTTTAAATTGTTAACGTCTGTAGTTTAAGTTAACTATTAATGATCTTTCAACTATCAAATTTTAACCAGCTAAAAGAACCACGATTGGTTGGTTAACTTGAAACACAGATGACAACAATTTAAAAGTGGAAGGACCACGAACGATCAATTTAAAAGTTCGTGATTAAACATTACAAAATCAATATATTCGAAGGACTTTATATCGCATTAACTTAATTTTTATTAAGTGAAATATGATATTCAACATATTTTAATGGGTTAAACAACTTTTTAAAAATTGATTAAATTGTTTTATGAATATGAATATGGAATATATGAGATACTAGATACTGTGACAGAAAGGGAAAAAAAAACGACCTAATAAATTTCTATACGTCAAGCAATTAGTTGAACTTCATTATTTTATATTTTTGGCATCAATATTGTAAAAATTAATAGTTGTATTAACAAGCTTACCAATTGTACGAATTCCTTAGAATCAGTTAAAACCTAATTTAATGCAAAGTTTTGAGTGTAAATTACAATTTAAAAATGGAAATCCAAATACTCGGCCAGCGGTTTTGGAAGGGTAAGGATGAATACCGGCGGCTTGACTTGGCTTTCGCGTTTTCTGCCACCTGCCAATAAGTGGGGTCCGGGGTGGGAATTGCATTGACTCACAAAAATGACAAAATGGCATCTTTTTCATTTACTTACACGAAGTAGGGAGAGGGGACCAAGAAGAAGATAAGTTATAATGTTTTTCTTTTTTGGTGCTGATTATTTTACACGTTTGACAAAACTTATCTTATATTCTTATTGTCTATAGATAGGTTGAAATGAAATATAAATTATTCAAGGTCTATAGACTATAATCATAAACTTTACCTAATGCACATTGATGTGTTGTACCATGCACACTATTAAACATTTTAATAACTGAAGTTTCACTAGTTCAGTACAACCTGACCAAAATTAATACTGGAAATATGCAATGGCACACCAAAGACCAAACAATACATAGAAGATACAAGGTTTAGTAGCAAAAAACTACATAGTTCTATATTAGTTCAAAGTCGCTCCATCTTAAAGTTACATTAGAAGTTCATACAACCAGTTTTTCCTAGCGCCAGACAGCTTTACAGATGGGTCGGGAAGGGAAACTTAGCCTCCCCGAGTTTCTGATGAGTACATTATTCAAGGGACTCCTTCAAACGGGCAATCAATTCATCCTGCCCAGAAAACATTGTCAATTAGAACATGTGTAAAACAAATAAATGGCATCCCTCATGCTAGACAATGAGCTTAATCCGGTGCATCAACCATACAGAATTGAAAAAAATCGCTAACATTTGGAAATATCTGTAACATGAGAAGTTTAATATCATAAATTCTTGCCTTTTTTCCTCTCGGGGAAAGGCCCTTCTCCTTCAAGAGTGCACGGAGTCTCTCCACTGTCATGCTGTGGTAATCTCGTTCAGGCATACGGTTTTTAGTTCCTTCTGTCAAAAACAAGGCAAAGTAGCGAACATATATGTATAAATTAAATTATTATACTGAGAAGAGGTATTCATCACAAGGATTACCTCAAATTATTCAACGTAAAGTATAAACTAGAAAGACATGCATTCCAAACAGCATTAGTCTATAGTCTATACTCTACGCAATCATCAAGGTATATAAAGCAAAGTCGTGCATATATTATATTTTGACTGGGTCACCATCAGTACAAGACTACAATTTCAACTGATATTGGCTTCACAACCCCAGTTTTATGTTTGCTAATAGTTTGACTTGTGTAAATTGGAATTCCAGAAAACTTAGTAAAATATAGTTGTCTAAGTGCCACTCCCTAAATTTCAAGAGTCTTATCCAAAGTCATCCTTAATGTCTAGAGGGAGAGACAGAGAGGTTTTAGTCAAACCCCATGAATAGCACATTCAAATAGAGGTCATAGTTACAGGCTTACCCTGGCGAGAAGCGGCTTGACTGCTGCTTGCAGCCTTCTTCGCTGATGCTCTACCATCCAGTGCTCTTTCCGCACATCTAAAAGTAATAAGTTGGTAGGTAAGATAACATTTGAGGTGTTAGCCAGAACAGTAAAACAATAAAACCTCCAGGAACTAGCTAGTCGCTAGTAAAACATCATTCACAGATTGCATGAAATGTAAATGCATACATGTAAAGAATAACCAAAATGTTTCCTGTAATGCTTTTATGCAGAAGAATGTGAAACTGATACCTTTTTCTTGAACTTTCACTCGTAGGAATACTTTTCCCATCTTTTGAACCAGATTCAGCCTTCTGCTTTTTAAGCATGAGAGATCTAATTAAGATGTTCATCTGGTCTGTCTTAATGAGCTGGTCCTCTGGACAAAGAAAATAGTCAGAATCAAGTTTATGAAGTCCTATTGCAAAAAGAAACTGTGATAGAGCATGGGAGGACGTTGTGACTTGTCTGCTGAATCAAGTCAGAGACTGCAAAGTTTATGCTATCACATTAATTAAAAAGATAAAGAGGCAGTGTGAAAAGATGGGAAGGAAAGATTTTCTTTCCAATTCTAGAGAACAAGTTTTTCCTAGAGATATCTTAGTGTCATCCAACATTCTCCAGATTGTTTTACACAGACTTCGCTTCCGCAATCTTGTGAGTGACAAGTAAGATCACCTTGTCACGGAGAAGGCTTCATGTGTAGTTCCAGTTAGGAGTTTAAATTTTCAGAGCTTACAGAAGTAGACATACTAAGCAACAAACACGGTGCTAGTCCTTGGCAAATTGCAAATCCCCTTCTGATTATCCTACCCTACATCTTGAAACTTATTTGGTTTTCACAAATATGACATATCTACATCTTGAAATGTCATTAGTACCACTAAACCTGACATAATATTTTAAATAAATAAAATAGGATAATACCTAATCTTCACCCAGTTTGTATAAACAGCTTAAAACTGCACTTCTATTATAAGAACTAATCAATAAGCTCAAAACAAGTCATATAGCATTGAAATTGAGTTAATACCCAACTTAGTCCTCGATTATAGTGGTTTTTCTCGATTTAGTCCTAAAAGTTTTTTTTGTGTTTAATTGGATCGTGGACTTTGATAGTTTTACCCATAGTTATCACGGCGCCCTGTTAAGTCGCGGTGCCCCCCGACCGCCTTGTCGCCTAGGCACCCACATAGGCGACAAGCAAAAAAATACTATATATATATATATATATATATATATATATAAAGTCTAAACATTCTAAATTCTAAACAATTAAACATATTCAAATAAATTTTAATTAAAAAAGAAACAAGTGGCAGGCAGTGAGGCACTGCCTCTGCCCACTGCCCAGCCATTATAAACCAAAATAAACAACTGTCTTGGGTTTATAAACCAAAACCAAAGAGAAAAGAAACTCTCAGCCAGCAGAAAGAAGACGAGAAATGAAGAAGAAAGAAGACCAAGACACAGCGGTGGGACGGTGACTGGTTTCTTCTTCTCTGTGAGCCCGAGGAAAGTTGACGCACGAAATGCTTCTTCTCTCTTCTCTATTCTTATTAGGGTTTTAGGTCATACTATTTTTTTTTTTTTTTTTTAAATTAAATTAAATGGGTCGGGTTTACTTGTTGGACGCCGGGTCGGCGTATTTGGCGTCGCCTGGGACGCCTGGCCGACGCTTAGGCGACGCCGGAGCTCGCCTTGCTATTTTCAGGCGAGCGAAGCCTCCAGGCGTCCTGTCTCCACCGACAGGACGCCATGATAACTATGTTTTACCTAATTGAGTCCTCGGATATTAGGATCAAGGACTAAATCAAGAAAAACCACTATAATCGAGGACTAAATTGGGTATTAACCTCTATATTCCAGGACTAAATTGGGTAAAACCACTATAGTCAATGACTAAATTGGGTTTTAATAGAGGGGAAATTACCAAGTTATCCTAACAGAGGACTCAATTTGGTAAAACCATTGAAGTCAATACTCAATTAAGAACAAAAAGACTTTTAAGACTAAATTGAGAAAAACCATTATAGTCGATGGCTAAATGGGGTATTAACTCCTTTGAAATTCAAGAGACTTCTGAAAAGCTGTTTTTCAGTTCATTTTGGATAATCTCTTTGAAATAGTTTGCAAAACTAAGCTCAAAACAACTTGCTAGAAGCCATAAACTCTATTCACAAACCTATCCAAACATTTAAAAATTGCACAACACCATAAGTCCTCATGGTAGTACATAAGCTCAAATAAGGTCGCTGAAATAGTTTGACGTGCATGATGCTAATTGTTAAGGAAAAAATAACCTGGAGGTGATGTGTCATGATCACAAATATAAACCCGCATTCCACCCTGTGCAAAATTTCCAAAGATGTGAATCAGAGATCATGCAGTAAAGGAACGAATATAGAAATCTATGATTGAGCAATATTTTATCTTTAACTGGCAAAGAAACTTTTCAGTTACTATTAACACATATTGCAGTTGATAATGATACAAACAAACAAACAAAAACATGCATTAGCATATTTCTTCACCCACAAAAATAGAGTAGCCCATTGTATTCCCTGGGCAACTTTGTGGTAGAAGAACGAAATATAGTCATTGAGAGTTGCATACTCAATTGCTCATATGAATCACCAGATTTCCAACAGCAGTTTTGGATTCATTACAAACAGTATAATACCAGTACCATAATTCCCATAGAGACCAAATAACATAGAAGAAAATAAAAAGAGAATGCTAAAAGATTCTTATTTTTGACTGCTATACATAAATGTCATCTTGCCATCATATAAAAAACTCCAATCGGTGGCTGTTATAAGTCGGGAATAGATAAAGCCAGTGGAAGTGGACTGCTGCAGGACACTAATGGGAGATGGTTAGGGGGGTTCACTCATAAAATTGGGTTGTGTAGTGCCATTGAAGTGGAGTGTTGGGCTATGCTTGATGTTCTTTGGTTGGCTTGGGCTATAGGGTTCAGTAGAGTGATTTTGGAGAAAGATTCTGAGCTGGCTACAAGGTGGCTTAAAGGCGATACCGTACCAAGGGGGCCTGTCCTCAATGTTGTCACAGGGTGTAAGCACATGATGAGGAGACAATAGGAGGTTCGTATTCAGCACTGTTTCCGAGAGGCGAGAGCAGAATAGAGCTGCAGACTATCTGGCTTCAAGGAGTGTTCAGTGGATTGAGAGACCTCCAGTTTTGCTTCGGCTAATTCTATTGGATGATGAGATGGGTGTTCTTTGCCTGAGGAAGATTTTAGTTACGAGGAGCTGATTTTGTGGGTGATCCCCTCCTTTCAATCAAATTTTTAAAAACTCCCGTCGGTAATTTATCCCAATATGACATCTGCCCATCCCATGCACCAAAAAAGCACCATAAATACTTCAAGCATTTTGATATGATTCCACATCAGCTCCAAAAGAAATTGTTGAGTGGTAAGAACCCATTCCAAAAGACTAATCCAATAAATGAGAGAATCCTTTATCTAAAGTACCACTCTACAATTTATCGTGGAGCTGAAATGGGACCATATCACACTTCTTTGCACTTGTTTTTCTTATTTGTGCACCCCGCCCTTTTACCCTACTATTATCTATACAGTATCACTCACTGAGTAACTGTGAATACACAATGGCAACCACACAAAATTCTGAGAATTCCAAAAATCTATGCATTAAAGCTCACAGGAACTCTAGGAGAACAAGGCAAATCACATCAGTGAATTAAGAGTTTAAAACTAGTAAAAACTCAGACCAATAACCTCAGTACTTAATAGTTAATATAGTGAAGTTAAACGCTTTCAAGTTGTAATTATATACTTACATAGGCACAACTGATTATTAAGAAGCATCCGACGAATCAGAATCAAATCGCAGACAGACAAATTAACACAGGCATTCGCAAAAAGCGGAAAAGGGAATGAAATTACCGGATTGGATGAAAGCACGGTGGAGGAAAAGAGGCCGCGAGAAGGGAGGTTTGCGAGGAATTTAGCTGCCGTTCCACCGCCGCCGATATCAGAAGCCGTTGTTGCATGCTTCGAATTGGGCGGAGTTGACGATCCACACTCGCCCTCCCCCATGTCTCCGACGCGCTAATTTGGTTCTGTTCTCACTTCGCACCCGCTACGGCTACGGCTACGCACAGAGAATTTAGAGCAATTTATGCAGAATACCAACCGAGTGGAGGAGAAGGAGACGATGGAAGGGAAAAACTGAAGAAGACAGCCGATGTAGCTCGAACACGGGCCGGGGTGAAGGTTTGTCAGGTTTAGGCCCAGTATTTGGATAGTTATGCTGTAGATTCAAATTTTTTTTTAAAACCTAAATTCATAATTTTGATGTTCATTTATTGTTAACGGAAGATTCATAATCTCTTAACTGTAGATTCATAATTTCTGTACTGTAGATTCATAATATATGTAACAACAAATGAAAAATAAAATTATGAATCTACGTTTATATATATATATATATATATATATATATATATATAGTATAAGAATTATGGATCTACTTTTGTGTTCACCACGCGCATGGCGAACATGTTTCCACAACATAATTTACCCAGGATTTGCGATACTCCCTCAGTTCAAATAATTCAGTCCGATCAAGGCATCTGCTTAAGTTATTATGTACAATGGCGGACTCAGAAAATAATGTGAGTGAGGGCGTACTTAACTCGATATCTCACTTAGCTTCTAAGAAAAAATTGCATCTTCTACAATTTTATATGAAGAATTCGCCACGACTTTAGAATTGTCAATGACAAAATATCAAACATGTATAATATGGTTCAAATATATTATAAAATATAATACAATATTTATGATAGACTATAACATGGTGTTTGGTTGAAGGGAATTTAAATTCCCTTCCCACTTAATTATCACCTAATTCCAAAGGTCACAAAATTCCCCTTTTGGTTGAAAGGAATTGCAAGAAGAAAAAAAAGATAGTGATGAATAGAAATCACCCTTTGATTTTTTTAACCTAAAATTAATGTCTAACAACAACAATGGACATTTTTGACTTTATACTACTTATTTCCTTTCAATTCCTATGTATACCAAACATTGGAATTGAAATTCTCAATAATTATATTCATGTAAACCAAACACTGGAATTTAAATTTCACTTTATTCCCAGTAATTCATCTCCCATGGAATTACAATTTCTTTCCCACGTAATTCCTCCTCTCCAACCAAACGCCCTGTAAGATAGTTATGGGCGAAGCCAAAACTATACTTGGGTATGGTGAAATTTTAAAACACTTTGAAATGTTATAAAAATATTTATGACAAAATATAAAACATAATCGATTAGATAAAATAGTATGAATAGAAAAGACATCATATTCATAAATATTTATTTTAATTTTCTTTTAAGTAGATCAACTATAAATTATTCTAAATTAATTTGAATACGATGAAATATAATATAAACTTGTTGACTACATTAACTAAATGATTCATAAAAAAAGTAGACTTAAAAAAAATATTTAATTTATCGAATGGTGAGAATAGCTAAAATAAAGAAAAAAGAAGCTAAAATATACATGCAAAAAAAAATATATTTAATTTATTGAAGGGTGGGAAGAACTAAAATAAAGATAAGAAGCTAGAACATATAAAAATACTTTAGATAGGTTTCAAACCTATAATACTTCATTACCATATTAAATACTGGAAATCTGGAGCCACAGCAATTTAATGGAAAACCCAGGTATGTTTTTCTCCATGGAGTTTAATTCGTGGCTAATGCATAATCTGGCAGGTACGAACGGAGGCCAAAAAGAAAAGAAAAAGAGTGCTCGTTTCGCCATTATCACTTGGTGGATTTGGAGGTGGAGGAACAGTCACATATTCAATGGAGAGGAGCGAACCATCAGCGAGAAGATGGAGTGGATCCACAGGCAATTCAAGGAGATTGAAACAGCTATGGACAAGAGCTCAGGACCGGGAAGACGGCAAGGTGGCGAGAGTCGTCGTTGTCAGCCATGGCAACCTCCTGAACCAGGGTGGATAAAGTTAAACACAGATGGAGGAACATGAAGAAATAATGATGCTGTGTGCGGCGGTATTCTAAGAAATGCAGAAGCTGATTTCGTAGGTGCCTTCTCCAAGAAGGTAGGAGCCTGTGGGGCGGTGGAAGCTGAACTATGGGGGATATACATTGGTGTAAACAAAGCATAGGAGCTGGGGTACCGGAAGGTGATCGTGGAGACAGACTGCATGAGAGCAGTTTCCCTGATCAACAGCACTGAAGAATACGAGGGCCCTGCAAGCAACCTAGTATCCTGGTACAAGGAAATAAGAAATCGGCAATGGGAAATCCATCTAAAACATGTTCCCCGGGAACAAAATAAAGCAGCTGACATACTGAGTAGGCGAGCATATGATAAAGACGACACCATCACATGGTTTGAGAGCCCTCCGAGAGAAATCCAAAGAACCCTGCGGGAAGATGAGCTCGGCTTACTTGGCCAAACGAATGTTGTGAGAGTCAGATACTGACTACTGGATATCCTCCCCCTCCTCCTCAGAAATACTCAACCAAGTAAGCCATTGAGCACTCTTGTGACTAATGCATGTATATATATATTACTAGAAAGAATTGAGGGGGGCAACTAACCTTACTGTCCCTATTGTGGGTCCGTCTATATATATATATATATATATATATATATATATATATATATATATATATATATGGATTTAATTCACCCGAGGTAGCCCGAATTATTAAACCCGGATAAGAATACGTACGAAATAAATAATATAACGCAGAGATATCGTAAGACCGCAGGGACCGTATATTGTATTAATTGTCGCTAATAAGCTATTACAAGACTTGATTATGACAATAATGCTAGAAGATAGTAATTCAGGAATATGTTGTGTTGTGTAATGATCAGGGGTCCTTTGTTAGGACAAGGAAGGAGCTTTTTATACCAGCTCAACCCCCAACCGCACCCCTAGAACCGGGGGTGGTTAGATCGGCCCGCTTTGACCGCGTCTCCTCCGGGACCGGGTCCAAAGCGGGGCGACTCGGCATGGCCGAGCCGGGCATGTGCCGAGCTCGGGCTAGCCGAGTCCACCATGGACCGGCTCGGCTCGGCAGTAGCCGGGTCCATGGTGACGAGCTCGGGTGTGGCCGGGCTCAGCCCATGACCGAGTTGCTTTGGGCCGACCCGGCCACGGCCCAAGGGGTTGGGCCGAAGCGCCTCGGGTCCGTCTCTCCGGGTCGGTTCGTTCCGGGTCCAATATATCCATCAATATATATATATATATATATATATATATATATATATATATATATATATGAAAAATGTTGAAAGTGACAGATACCTCGATTATCAAACAAGGCATATTTCTATCTGGGTATATGAAGAGGCCATGTTGAACTTGACATGGATGAGGTTGTTTCTTACTTCATTATTCATTGCAAAAATCAAATGAAAAAAAGCATTCTCATTTCTCTATGCTATATCACAGATTTATAATGTTTCAATTGTCTTTGGTCATTTCATTTTTTTGTTTAGTTTGTGACTTTAAAAAACCGTAATATTTTGTATAATTAAAAGACACAACAGGAAGGGAGAAGATGAATAGCAGAGTGGCTATGTTACTGAAGATAGCATGTTAGTGTCCCACATCGTTTAAACAGTGGGAGCGGACGCACATACAATGCTATAAAACAACTGGGCCGAGGAAATGATAAAGCATACCTTTCTCGGCCTTTTGGCTAAGATCAAGTGTAGTATCTGTTCTTATCAGTTTAATATCTGATACGTGGGCCAATGGTCCACACGATATTAACTCAATTTTTTTAGGGAGAAGGCCCATTAAGGTAGCTTGCTACCTGGGCTCTCAAGCGTCGCCGTTGTGTTGCACTATTGCTTCGGCCTGGCGCATCCCACCAAATTAAGTCTAATATTTTTCAAGCCCAAATTAAGTCTAATATTCTTCAAGCCCATTTTCTGGCCCATTGTGTGTACATTTTGATATTCTCTGTTTTGTTTCTTCAAAATCGTAAAAAGAATTAACGAGTACCTTGGTCACGGCAATTTATATCTTACACCATGGCGTGCGTTGCACTATGTTTTAATTTTTTTTTTTTAATGAAATTTCTCGTCCCAATGAATAGCAGTTTTTTCTTTAAAAAAAATCTGCTGTTCAAGAATGTACATAATGTTATACTAGAATACACATAATTGTATACATGAATGTACATAATTATATAACAAAATATACATATTCTTTTTAAAGATAATACACATAATCTAACATAATACACAATAAATATAAACTTTTAACATAATACACATCAACTATTAACATAATACACATAAATTTTCTGATTCGGATGTACATAATTGTATAAAAATGTACATAACTTTATGAACCAATACACATAACTGTATGAACAAATACACATAACTGTGTGAACAAATACACATAATCCCAGCAACTTCCTACCGCGCCTCCCAAAACGAACCCCAAAACGACATCGTTTTGGGAGGCGCGCGGCGCACAGTGCTATGTGCGCCGTGGTGTAGGGTATAACGATTGCTTGGTCACCAGGTGAAGGGTTATTTATTAATTATTTTAATTGTTTAGATATTAAATTAAATGCTAAAAGTGTCATTCCGCACCATGAACTATACCGGATTCTTCATGCCGCATCTTTGATAAGTGCTATTTAGGTTCACGAACCATTCAAATTTTTTCGCCTAAAACTTTTTACAGGTTTCTTTCAAGTTGTAGGTAATAATATGCTGACGTGGAGTTTTTTTTTTTATTAACCTGTTTTAAATAATTGTTTAAAGTATGACATGGCAGATTTGTTTTTTACTAAGACCACTGTTAATCTGTTATATCGGCAATATAACGAGAAAAAACATCAGTTCCGACGAAAATAGAGGAGCACGGCCGCTGCAGCTGCAAATGGATAGCGGCGGTGGCGAGCAAGGACATCGGCGCCAACACCGGCATTCTCTCTGGCCTCCTCTACTCCGCCGTCTGCAATTCTAGGCTTCTAGCTTCCCCGGAGAGGCCCCTGGTTGGTCCACCTCGCAGGAGCCCTCCAGTGCTTCCTTGGCTACTTCTTCATACGGCTGGTTGGCCGTCCTCGGCACCATCCCGCGCCCGCCTGTGTCGGTTATGTCCCTCTTCATGTTCATCGCCGCTCATGCGCATACATTTTTCAATACGGCAAATGTTGTTACAGTTACAGGATTTCCCGCAATATAGCGGCACTGTCGTGGGAAT